CTACTACTACTACACTACGACGACTACTAACCAACCCACTTCACCACCCACCCACCACCACCCACCCACCTCACCACCCACACATCCAGGGGCCTCCCGTGCTTTGGCAGCCACGTCACCTGCAGATTCCCGCAGGAGCCCCCAGCCCTCCTCCCCAGCGGGCGCATTAGCGCTGTGCCCCGCTGTCATGTGCCGGCACTGGCACGTTGGCCTCAAGGAGGAGAGTGCTGGGAGGACTCGTGCACCACCGCCCCACACCCGGCCAACGGTGTGGGGGGGAACGTCTTGATGGGGAATTGGGCCTGGTGGCTGGCAAAATAGCTTCATCAAGCTTCTCACTGCTTGTGCCACGTGGGATTTGGGTGGGCGGAGGCATGAGCTTGGCATCCAACTCCTGCTGGCTAGGCTTGCTGGGGTCTTCCGGTGTTGTCTCGGGGTTTCCTGCTTGGTTTTGGATCTGAAGCTTTTGCATCTGGTCGATCAAGCTCTGGAAGTCAACTGTGCCCGGTCGCAAAAGCAGGGATTGGGTCTGGCTGCTCGCAGGGTTCTGGAAACCAGCTAGAAGCTTGGCCGCCTGTGCCAATGTTGGGTCGACCTGATCAGGGCAGAGTTGAAACTCGTAGCTTAATGTGCGGCTAATTAGGTACTTGCCTGATCGCTAGCTCCATCCAACGATTTGCCCCCAGCTTCGTTCGGTTTGTCTGCACTAGAGATCTCGGCAGCTGCATCCGCCCGATCTGCGTGCCCAGCTTCGTTCCGCTTGTCTGCACCAGCTGAGATCTCGGCAGCTGCGCCCGTCCGATCTGTGCCCCCAGCTTCGTTCGGTTTGTCTGCACCAGAGATCTTGGCAGCTGCGTCCGGATCTGTGCCCCCAGCTTCGTTCGGTTTGTCTGCAGCAGAGATCTTGGCAGCTGTGCCCCCAGGTTCGTTCGGTTTGTCTGTAGCAGAGATCTCGGCAGCTGTGTCCGGAGCCTCTTCTACCTGATCTCTGCTAGTGCTACACTATTTAACCTGCTAGCTGTCTATCGATTATAGCGGGTCTAGGGATCTATCATCTAATATAATTATTATAACATTAGTACTATGTCTCAAATATTTGATGAAGACCTGACCGGGGCCCAAAGGATGGGTTCACTTAACCTGCAATACTGCCCGGACTCCCGACAAACACCCGAACGACCTATATAGCTAGATATGATCTAGTTTCAGATCTAGATCTCGATAGCACCCACCAGGCAAGCGGCGAGCATCTCCTCCTGGTCTCGCTGCGTCGCCACAGCCTCCTGGAAAGTGCTGGTTCAGGGTTTGGTTCAGGGCTTGTAAG